TGCTGTTACTTGGAGCCATGACTAACGATGTATATCAATGATGAACTTGGATTAAACCGTTGAAGTATAGTGGGGGCTCAGAAAAGAATGCATGTTCCCTTACTATCTATACCTTAAGCAAGTTCTATTGCAGAGAATGGCTTGGAATTCATGCTATCTATTAACGTTTGTTCGTGTGTTACCTTGATTGCACTAATTTGGTCTTGGGGGTCTCTGTTGTAAAAATATCTGTTTTCAAGACTTTGATGTTCTCGTGCAAGTAAATGCAGCTTCTTGATAGAAGTCCTGAAGTTACTGCTACTCTTCAACAATCCGTGATGGATTCATTAGGCATGCCCGGTAAAGCATTTTCTGAGCCAATACACTTCAGAACACAACAGCAACTGGCACAGCTTTTCATATCCCTCTAATATCTGCTGTGCCAGCCTAACAAAACCCCCAATTGGTGCGGAGCCACCACAATGATGGCGATTTTAGCCTCAGCGAATAACGATTGCAGTTCACAGCCATCACGGTTCACCAATCTGTTGAATCATCGAGGATTTGAACAACACCTGTCCATTCTTGACTGCTATACACATACCCCTCATTTCTTCAAATTTGCTCATGTCATACCAAACTCACCCTCTCAGAGTCATACGTTGTTGAATACCGGATCTCTTCTGTGGGCATTTCTATTGGATGACTCACTGTGACTTACAGTAAATACCCGCGACTTTTAGACAACTCCAGTTTTTATCCTCTCGCATACTCCATCACACTCTCTTCTCTCAACACAACGACATCATGCCTTCCAGATCTGAGATCACATATTTCGGCGCAGGCCCTGCTCTGCTGCCCACAGACGTCCTTGAGAAGGCTGCCCAGGCCCTCATCGACTATGAGCATACCGGATTAGGTACATACAAAATCTCATAATTCGTCGTCAACGTCACTAAACAAATGACAAGGTATTGCTGAGCACAGCCATCGTTCAGAGCTGGCTACAAACATCATCAACGAGGCCAAGGCTGATCTTGCCTCATACATTGACATTCCCGAGGACTATGAGGTTCTTTTCATGCAGGGTGGTGGAAGTGGAGAGTTCTCCGCTACCTTGTACAACCTTGTCGGTGCATGGGTGACGAAGAAGAAGGCCCAGATTGTTGCCAACCTCAAGGCTCCTGAGGACGACCCTCGTGTGGAGCAGGAGCTCAGGAATGCAGTCGAGAAGGAGCTCAAGACGGATTACATTGTCACTGGTGGCTGGTCTCAGAAGGCTTCTGAAGAAGCTAAGCGGTTGCTTGGTCCTGAGCATGTCAACATTGTCGCTGACGCCCGCCAGATCAATAATGGCAAGTATGGCAGGATTCCCGAGGAGAACACCTGGAACCTTTCCAAGGACGCTGCTTTGGTGTATTATTGCGACAACGAGACCGTCGATGGTGTAGAATTTCCTGCTTTCCCTCAGTCCTTGACCCCTGGACCTGACGGCGAGGGCCCTATTGTTGTGGCCGATATGTCCTCCAACATCTTGTCGAGGAGAATCCCTGTCCGAAACTTCTCAGTCATCTTCTTCGGCGCCCAGAAGAACCTTGGCTGCACTGGTGTCACCGTTGTGATTATCAAGAAGAGCCTTCTTCCCCCTAAGACACCTCAGCCCCCTGCCGCACTTCTTCGGCGACTTGGACTTCCTATCCCTCCTATCATCTTCTCTTACGAGACTATCGCCAAGAACAACAGTCTCTACAATACCCTGAGCATCTTCGAGTGAGCGCTTCTATATGACACGTGTAGCACATGTACTGACTAGATTAAGTGTCTATATTGCTGGCCAAGTTCTCAAGAAGTCACTCAGCACCTATAACAAGGTCGAGGGACAGGAGGCCGTGTCCGCCAAGAAGGCCGAGCTTATATATGGTGCTCTTGACGCTCACCCCGATGTGTACAGAGTTGTCCCTGGCAAGTCCGTTCGTTCAAGGATGAACATCTGCTTCCGAGTTACCAAGAATGGCGACACTGATGGTACGGAGAAGGCTTTCCTCAAGGAGGCCACTGCACAGGGTCTCACCGGCCTCAAGGGCCACCGAAGTGTGGGTGGTATTCGTGCCAGCAGCTACAATTCCATTCCTTTGGACGGCGCTGAAAAGCTTGCCAAGTTCATCGAGACGTTTGCTGCCTCGTAAGAAAATCCAATCATGAAAAGGTTGAGCTGGATGGTTTGAGGATTTGTGGAATTGATTAGATGCATGTACGACATCAAGGATAAAAGTCAACCTAGATAGATGTTGAATCCAACATGTTCCATGAGGATAAAAAATAAGAATCAAATAAATGAAGTATAATAGAAGGCGCTCTACTTAAATAGCTTGTACTGGTGATGATCCTCTACTAGGTACGTAGGTACCTCAAGTTAAACATCCATCACCCAGGCCCTGATGGGTGAGTTCCAGTGGGTTAATGCACTATCATTTTGCTACGATCAGTGGGCCCTGAGCGCTATAGCAAGGATGGAATCAACCTTAGGTTTCTCTCCAGTCTTGTTTATGTCTCCAACCAGGAAAACTCAGCCAATACTCATTTATTTCTCCCAAATACAGCGTCTATCGTCTTTATTCTAAGAAAGTCGGAATATATAAAAATTAGAACAAGTCCGAATATCTCATTATCACTCATTTCGCCGATGCTGAGACGCAGTCTCCTAAGGAGGCTCAATTGCAAAGCGAATCGCTCTCGAGTCTTCCTATCGCCATTCTATATAAGGAAGTGCAACGACGAAAATTTGACACCACCTTTGCGGTATTCTATTGCCTCGTCAACGAAGCCATTCCCGCATCAGTCGTGGCATACACAAAACTCTGGATCTGTCTCCGGACTACCAATCATAGACGACACCATCTATGCTCTATCAACGGCGCAGGGCCGGGCGGGTATTGCGGTAATTCGCATCTCTGGCCCATCGTGTCTTGAGGTAAGTGTCATACAAATTACTATATACAGGTATCTAATTTTGGTGTGGAGATTTACGAGGCACTTTGCCCGTCGAAGCCATTGCCAAAACCAAGATATGCAACAGTGCGGTCCCTATATGACCCCCAGCATGCCAATAATGAACAGATAGTGCTGGACTCAGAAGCTCTTGTTCTTTACTTTCCTAGCCCCAAGACTGTAACTGGTGACGATGTCTTGGAGTTGCACGTTCATGGAGGATCAGCCACCGTAAAAGCTGTGTTAACAGCCATTCCGAAATGTTCCGCTACACATCGTATTCGATACGCAGAGCCTGGCGAGTTTACGAAGCGCGCCTTTTTCAACGACCGCCTGGATCTTGCTCAAATTGAATCCCTGAGTGACACCCTAGCAGCTGAAACGGAACAGCAACGTCGTGCAGCTGTGCGAGGCAATTCAGGTGCTCTTGGACGACAATACGAGGCATGGAGAGAGCAGCTCTTGTTGGCTCGTGGTGAGATCGAAGCATTGATCGACTTTTCCGAAGACCAGCACTTCGACGAGTCCCAAGCTGAATTGTTACAGAACGTGACTGCGCAAGTTGCCAGGATGCTACACAGCATTGAGCTGCATGAACAGGGAAGTCAAAGGAGCGAGCTTTTGAGGAACGGAATTCGTATAGCGCTGTTAGGGCCACCCAATGTTGGTAAGAGCTCGCTTATGAACCTGATCGTTGGGCGCGAGGCATCTATTGTGTCCGGTGAAGCAGGCACAACGCGAGATATCGTCGAGGCAAGCTTAGACATTCGCGGCTATTTATGTTCATTTGCAGATACGGCTGGGTTTCGCTCCAAAGGTTCCCAGGTGCTAAACGGGGCTGATAGTGGCGCAATTGGGGCCGTGGAGGAAGAAGGTATACGGCGAGCCAAGCAACGAGCTCTGGACTCTGACCTTGTTATAGTCCTAGCATCCGCGGAGGATGGTCAGGATGGGCCATTTCTGCAATACGACCAAGAAACGCTCGATCTCGCTGCCGGGGCAGAGGACTGTCTTGTTGTTGTCAATAAACAGGATGCAGTTGGTAAAGAAGAATTGGAGAAGCTGGTTCAAGATTTCAGAAAAGCTGTTCGAATTCGAGCCCCCAAACTAGCGGCGGCGCAGTTCGTGTCCGTATCGTGTAAGGAGGCTCAGGCAGGGACATGGGAAAGCAAGGATCCTGGCGGTATCCAGGATGTGATCACCAAGCTCGTGGCATCCTTTGAGAAGATGACATCCATGCCCATAGAGCTCCAGGATCTGCTAGGCGTTACAGAGCGCCAACGCCAGCTCCTGGTCAAGTGCCGTCGACACTTGGAGGACTTCATGATGGAGGCTACCCCTGAAGAGGGCTTGGATGCCGATGCTGTACTCGCGGCCGAGTATCTGAGGTATGCTGCGAATTGCCTTGCACGGATCACAGGACGGGATGAGTTTGGAGATGTTGAGGATGTACTGGGCGTTATCTTTGAAAAGTAAGTTCTGAAGGATTTATGTATGAGACGTCTGGCAGATGCTGATTTTGATACGTGTTAGATTCTGTGTGGGGAAATAAGCGCGTGGCAAGGAAGATTAGAGCGACGGGACATTGGTAAGAGAGTTGAAATATATTTTCCATCGAGGAATATTCTATAGAGAGCAGCTGATCTGAACAAATTGAAAGACTCAAGGTTGGGCCGCCTGGGCCTGGTCTAGCCTGTCATGAAAAGAGAAAGCGAAAATGAATTTGAGATGAGATGATATGAAAAACGGAGCAAAAGTAAATCCATGCTGTATGCTCGCTTCTATGCCGTGCCGTGCCATGCCATGCCAACGCTGTGTAATGCTATGCTTCCATCTTTTCCAACTCCCGCTATGCGATGCTGTCCGTGTCTGCAACTTGTTCCTCCGAATACCAATGCTGATGATGAGAACAAAACAAAACTCCGTTTCATGCAAATGTTGTTGAAACTAGTGTCTAAAAAGAAAACTCCGCCCCATGCTTGCGCTGTCGCTGTGTATGCTTTTGGGAAGTGACTCGAGAGTAACAAGGGAGTTTACTCCTCGTCATTGTCGCTGGGACCATTGTAGCCAGAGCGACCCTTGTTGCCCTTGGAGGAATCATCGTCTTCAGGGCCGTTGTAGCCAGAGCGACCAGAGTCTCCCTCCTCAGGCTCGTTGTAGCCAGATCGACCACGGTTGTTTGTGGGTTTGGAGTCAGAGTCGTCGCCGTCCTTGTTGTAGCCAGATCGGCCGAAGGATCGGGTAGTAGGAGCAAATGTGAGAGTGAAAGCAGCCATTGTAAGTGTTGTAGAGTAGAGTTGAGATAAGTGAGACTTTTGGGTGAAGATGGAAGTTGAGTTGAGTTGAAAGAGCTGAGCTGTTGTATATAAGTGTTGGGTTGTAGAGTGTAGTTGTAGAGTGTAGATGAAGATGGTTGTTGATGGTGATGAGAATTCTAATTCGGAGGAGGAGGAGATGGACAGTTATATAGAAAGTGAGTCAACTATAGAACGAAGCCAAGGGTAACTAAGCACATCGCAGATAGGGATTCTCGGTAGACGGTGGAAGCGGCTGACTCTGACTGACGCCTGTTCGCTCGTTCGGTTGTGTTGTCGTATCATGACGATCAAGCACACCCTTAGCATGGGGGCAACAAAATAGAAACACACTACATAGCGTATCGTGCTAGGTAGATTACAGCAGTGCCCATTGTTCCGCCCTTGCTATGGAACCTTCTTTCGCTTCCGTCAGTCTGCGCCATGTCGCCGATGCTGACAGGGGATCCATCAAAGCCGTGAGTGGTGGAGGACACCATCGTAGGGCTGAGGGCAATGTGTTAATGGGGGACCGGACCTTGCAGTACAGTTACAGGGGTCTCTGTCAAACGGTGTAAGTTAATAAGTAGCCACGCCCACGGTACCCGGGGTAGGGGTCGGGTCGGGGTGCGGAAGACCCGGGCCGTATCCAGTCAAGTCGCTGCGTATTGTATTACTGAGTGAGCGAGTGAGTCTTTTGACTGCCCGTTCCATTGATGGGCTTACGGGGCTTGGGCAGGGTATACGTTATAATAAGCCACAGCCTCAAATGAACACCCCTGTCCATGTAATCAATCAATCATCCTCCACGGCTCTGGCCATGGACCTGGAGCAGCAGATGCAGAATAGATGCATCATGGTGGTTTTTTTCTTCTTTCGACCCCAACAATGCAATTGTCCAAGATAACAGACATATCAAATGAGTTTGAAGAGTTGGTGTGGAGACGGAGCTTAGATACGTAAATACGCACCTCCAAGATACTGCATAGTATTCGTATTATCATCGCGCCCAAACTATTCCGCACTCTTGGTACTGTATGTATCAACGTCCAGACAATTGCGGATTTGCAACGCAGAAACGTCATCAAGGCTGACAAATGAGGCCGTGTGATTCCAATTCGATCCAAACTCCGACTATCTAGATTCGGAGTCAATCATGGAGTTTAGGAGAGATGAGACACGGTACGGACGGAGTAGACAAAGAGATTCCAATTAATCCCGGTTGAAATTCGTTGAATGTGCCAACGTGTACTTGACTGCATGCGCGTCCCATATCGCAATAGGCGCAGAGAAGAAGCTTCCAAGGTGCAGTTTCTCGTCACATGGGCACTCTTGATAAGTTTAAAAGGCTGCCTAAAAGACAAGACATTTACATGAGGCATCACGATAGCGAATAAGTCAGCAAGTTGCACCCTTTATTCTGTCATCCCGCTTTGTCATCCCGCAAATGGCGGATGCAGCCACAAAAGCCATGACGCGACTTCCCCATTGGCGTGCATCGGTCAAGCCCGTGTTTCCGCCTACCGAAGGAACAAACTGCCCCAGATTCCAGGGCCCTCTCCCCTAATCATCATCATCATCATCACCATCACCGACACCGAAGAGTCACCCTCTGCATATTCCGCCTTTCTTACTAAACATGAACTCTCTCTCTTATCATGACTCATCTTGCACCATCAATTGATTATTGAAACCAACAAAAGAACCTTGTCAGGTTCCCGAATATTGCAGTTACTCAATCGGTCTCGTGGGGGCAGAAGAATGAAACGTCACGTTCAAATCGAGACAACCTCAACTTACACCACGCGCACTCTAACACCCACACTGACACTCACACCCATGAGGTAATCGTCGAACAGCCCCTTCTGACCTTACTATTATCCGCACACTAGCCTACTGGGTGGCCGGGACTCCTTCATTCCGGTCGGCACGGCATCTGGTCTTACCCGTCAGTCAGGTTCAGGTTCAGGCCCTTTCGCCGGCCAGCGCGGGCCCTCCCAATCCCTTGGGACCTAATTTCTGAGCATCCAACTCCTCTCGATACTGAGACTCGACGGGGGTTCTCGATTCTCACTGAGATCTCTGGTACCGCCTCTCATTGGCCAGACCCCCAAGCAGCCATCTTAAGCGCCTGCTGTGAATGACCAACGAGCTGAGAGGTCGAACCATGACGCATTTGCTCCCAAGAATCGCCAATGCTACGCTTGTTCTATCAATGGAAACATTTCGCGATCGAAAATCACATTTCAATCACATCATGATGTCCGTCTAGTCTCGAATTCTTACAAACAGCCGCAATGGTACACCAACCTCACCCGCCGCATGCATATACCCTGGTCAAGTTTAAGCGCCTTAAAAATAGAAACAGCGTCGGTATTGGTCAATTGGCGCGCTGTCGCTTCATCTGACTGTTTTCGCTACTGTAGCTCGCTGCATAGCCCCGGACAGGCTCCAATCGATCCAATCACCAGGCTTAGACGGTACACTCACCACCACGAGGCATTATCCAGGAAATCAGCCTTGCAACCTAGACCAGGCTCTTGTATTACTGTTTTTACCTAAGAACTAAGGCATGGACCATGTTTCTGCCGTCTCGGTTACCTCTGAGACATTACGGGATATAGCTTTCCAGATCCTTGCCCGCTGTTTTGTTTCTGCTTACTCCCCTGAGCCATGTCTCGGGAAGGATTGCAACGCCTGTCAGGTGTATCGGAGGGTTCCCTTGGGCGTGGAAGCTCATGTTCCACCAATACAGGTTGCAGCCTGTTCGCGTTGAAGCTATACACTATCTATCAACCACATGCACTCATGTACTCAAGCAGTTCTGGGCATTTCTAAGAATGGTTGCATCTACGGATCTGCGGCTTATGTCTCGGCAGCTACTCTCATCCCGGAAGCAAGCCGGTAGACTTTGACTGGTAACCGATGCAAAATCGTGACATTGCTAGAAACCCGCTGACGTTCATTCGACTAAACGCAAGCACACTTTCTTTTTTCAACTTCATCGACAGCCTTCGGCCATTTGAATAAGTTCCGCCGACGCCACTAAAACGTTGACAGCCTGCCGATCCGTATGGCGCACATACCACAGTCACCAATCTGCATCCATTGAGCCATCACCAGGCATCAGGGATCAAATCACAGCCATCCGTCGCACAGAATCAATAAAACAGAGTTTGGAGGCTCTGCCCCTGAATTGCCTAATATGGTAGAATGTTTCGATCCCTGTTCCCAGCCCCATAGCCCCCAAGCTTCACAAAGCCTGCATGGCTTGGGAATGCGGTACAAGCCGTGGGATCGTTTTACGATGTATGTCTTGGCTGTGACTAACCATTGACCAATAGCCGGTATGTTTCAATTGGCACATCACGATGCGCATAACACCTTTTCAAGTAGTCCTACATTGCCTTGCTACATTCTGTACCATTCACAGCTCGTCCCTGGCATGAGCCTCCTGGCCAGGATCTTCCATAGCCATGATCTTGACGACAAGACTAGTCCATCCAGTGAAGTGCTGTGTTCGCTGGCCGGCACCCGTATCGGGGTTGTACTGCTCCCAGGCGAAGCCTGTTTCTTCCCAACTCTTGTACACGGTGTCAACAAGGTTCTTACGGAGACGCCTGAACAGATCCTTCGCTTTACCCCTGTAGGGGCCTTCCTGCGAAGCAACGTTCTATATGCACATGTTAGTCTTTGTACTACTTCGCCAAGGGCCATCTGGGGGGAACCCTACCTGTAGTTGAGACAAAGCCAGGTAATTGATAGGCATCCAAACCGGGCTGCGCCAGTAGTTCTCGCCCGTGGCGTAGAACTCATCCTTTTTACTCAAGCTGCGAATGCCGTGGGGGCTCCAAAGGTGCTCCTCGTCACCGATCAGTTCAAGAATCTTGCCCAGCTTGGGGTCGTCAGCCTTCATCAGGCCGACCAGGAAAGGGAACAGGGAAATGTAGCCCTTGTGGCATACGAGTGCGTGTTCCTCGTAATCATCGATCGTTGCGTCACAATAGCAACCCTCCTTATTGGACCAGTGGAGATCATTGAGGTTGTGCTCGATGCCATCCAAGTTCTTCCTATACTCATTCACATCTTCGGCCATGCCGAGGGCGTCTGCGATGTTCATCAACGACTTTGTCATCAGCCCAACCCAGGACATGAGATCGACGTGCAGCTCGCCCGGCGAAGGGGGCTGGGGTCGAGGATAGTCGTCCAGGCCACTGGTGAGGATGTGAGTCTCAGTACGGCCCCTCCATCTGTAAGCTTCCTTGGTTGAGTATGCCTCACGGTCATAGTTCTTTATGTCACCTCGCTGAGTTTTGCGGAACCAGTCGTATTGTTGTCTTAACAGGGGGTACAACCTTCGAAGATAGTTCTCGCCGAGCTCGATATTGTCGAGGTGAGCGGTTTGCAGAGGATCGGCCCCCAGAATACGTTCCTTTGCCTCGCTCTTCGTTCCGTTTGATGCGCGAAGACGCTCCATGAAGCCCTCGATGATAAGGAAGAGGGTAGGGGGGTTGGCATAATGTGGAAATTGCACTTGAAACTCAGGGGGGACTTTGCTCCGGGCCTCGTGACCTAGAATTTGTTCGCGCGCGATCCAGCCATCTTCGTCCATAGTGTTGTACCAGCTCTTGACAATTTCAAGTGTGAGGTCAATATCCCAGTCGGCAATGGGAATCAGGTGAAATCCTTCATCCCACAGGAAACCACGGGGGAAGAAAGGGCGAGAAGGAACACTGGTGAAAAGCTCATAGGGGCCTTCGAGTTCTGGCTGTGTGCGTGCCTTGGCTTGCGCGGCCTCCTCCCAGAACCCGTCGTTCTGCTCCTCATACTCAGGCGCATACGATCGATCAATTAGCTGGTGACCATGGAAGTACCCTATGCCGCCGATGAGGTTCGACAGCATGCTCTTGCCGAATTTCTTGTACTTCTCCTCTGTGAAAGGCTCCTTGAGCTTGAAGGTGTTGGTGAAGCGCTCGTTGAAGATTTCTGAAGTCTTCTCGATCTGTTCAGTAACCTCCTCGGAAGTAAACTCCTTGCCTCCAGATCCCGATGAAAAGATGACATCGAACTCGAACGGTCCCTCGAAGGTCTTCTCGACTATATGAACGTTACCTTTTCCAGGCGCATGGGCAATACGGTACACCTGCCACGGTGGAGGTGGATCCGCCTGGTCAGCGTTCTGCTGCACGGGCGAAACGGCATCTTGAAGTTGCTTGAAGACAACGGGCTTGCCCTGCCAGGTGAGGTCGGCTGGGACCTCAGCACTCGAGACGATGGTTGTGTCGCCATGTCGATCTTCCAGAAACTTGTGGTCTGTTGAAGGGTGCTCTCCGGTACCTTTGGTGATAAGAAGCTTGTAGTCTCCTAGCGCCGTTGAACTGCCCGTAAGAGTAACGTCGTCTTCAAAACCATACTGAGTACCTTCACCTTCAACAGCAAGTTCGCCCTGGCCATCCTGGGCGATGTAATAGAACAGCATGGTCCTGGTGTTTTTGGGCGCACCGTCTCGCAGCTCGCCCTTGATTCGGGCCGCCCAGCTGCCACCATGGTTTCCACCAGGGATCTTCACAAAAGTAGTCGTCAAGTCGATGTTGTTGCCTTTGTCGTGAATAGATTGCACACCGCCTATGCGGGCATCATACTCATCCCATCCGTAGCCATGAATATCTTCTCCCTGCTCGCAAGTATATCTGAAACCTACAAGGCAAGTGTCAGAGCATTTGTACCACGAAGCTTGCTATTTCACTTACCATTCTGAATATCATGGTAGTTGTCGACTTTCCCCCACATGAGCCCTGTCCATAGGCCATCTGGTGTTCGTGGTCGCACACCAAAGTACAGATTGGATTTGTAGGGGCCCCAAAAGAGGCTCTGGTTGTTTTGACGGCCAATTTCTGTCGTCAGCACAGAAGATGCATCGTCTGCGGCTGAGACGCCCAGAGCGAGTGTCGCCGCCGACACCCAATGGGCAATTTTCACCATACTGACGATGGAAAATGTTTCTCACGATCCTCTACAAGAGAAATTGAGATAAATACTTTTTTGAGCGAACCCTAGAGAATTCAATTCCTCATTGGGTGAATTTGTGCGTGAACAAGCTCCAGAGAACACGTAGTTAGGAGTAGCGAATTGATATGACGACGCAAGGCTGAGAGTTGGAGAAGGATCCGGGGTCTGGAGAGAGCTCGGGCCAATGATGAAGCTTCACCAGCCACCGCCACTTGAAGCTCAAACTCCACTTAAAAGTTATCTTGTTTCAGCCTTCCTCTAACTAACTAGAACTTGTTGGATTCATATTCGAACATTCTTATTCTTCACCTAACACTGTCTACATCTCAACCCCGCCAGCAAATTCTCAGAAACAGGAATAAAAATCTACAACACACACAATGGGAGACTCTAGGCGAAGCAGACGACCCGATAGTCATCAGATGTGGGACGAATCCGACAGACGCGATAGGCGTGGAGGACATAACAGGGACAACGACCGCGATCGCAGAGGATACAGGTCAAGATCACGCGAGCGCCGTGGATACAGAGATCGATCAAGATCGCCAGAAAGGAGACATCGAGATCGAGATCGAGATGGTGATAGGAACCGACCTAGGGATAGAGGCCCGCGCCATCATGATGATCGAGACAGGAGGGATAGACGGAGAGAGGATGCAGAGGATGCGCCACCAAGACAGAGACGAGATGAGCGTCGTGAAGATGATAGAGACAAGAGAAGTATGCACTCACCCCCATTTTAACGTTATGAAAATCTAACTTGCCACGTAGGCAAATCTCGTCGCTCAGCGTCACCACAATCACGAAGCCCTACTCACGAAGCACTTCCCACGCGTCCTCGTCCCGACGCAAAGCGCCCGGCACCAAACATGTCCTTCAACGTCGGCTCTCGTGCAAGCCGCTCGCCACCACCGCCATCACGCGCACAGCATGAAGAGGAAACCAATCGCTCGGAAGAGGGCCAAGCTTCAGAGGTTGAAGAAGATCCTATGGACGCAGAGGACGACGATATGGCCGCTATGCAGGCTATGATGGGCTTCGGCGGGTTTGGAACGACCAAGAACAAGAAGGTTTCGGGCAACAATGCTGGTGGCGTGCACAAAGAGAAGAAGACGGAGTATCGTCAGTATATGAACAGGAACGGCGGATTCAACAGGCCATTGAGTCCATCACGCTGAGCGTTCTGGCTAGAAGGCGTTGATGCAGTACGGGTTACGATCTCCGTGAGGACAACTGGCACTTTTAAGGTTGTGCCGTAAAGGTAAAACTGGATTGGCGTATGGATGGATTGGTTTTCCTGCCGAACGAGCGGGACATCAAAGTTTACAGTATCTTACGTGTGTAATGGATTCTCAGCCCTGCTTTCGCGTTCCTCTTTCGCATTACTCTCTGCGTCAATACATATTCCGTCCGGGCTTAACTTCGACCATCCCAAGGATGTGCCTGTTTCCTCGGCTTTTACGACAAAACCCTCCATTTACACGAGCCCACACAAACTTCCGCAGAATATATACACCAGTCTCGCCATGGCCATCCTTGCGACATTCCTCCGCTCTTTTGAGGGCGTCATACTCAGTATAACAGCCATCCACATAGTCCTCACTACTTTGTCGAACTGGATATGTCGACCCGCTACTCCTACACCAGAAGAGCTTATACGATCAAGACGCGAAAACCATACCGCCGGTCGATCGGCCGTGAACAGAGTTGTTGAAGCTGTTCCCCGGGCAGCCGCTGGCAAGCACCCCTACCATAAGCCTTGTCACAGCTGGTGGTGGTATGCTATGGCCTTATGGCCAGCCCCTAGTGACCGTCTCTGCCGTAAACCTCGTCGCAAATGGTGGTGGTACATTGTGGCCCTGTGGCCAGCTCGTGATGACCCAAATCGGTGGTTCATTCTGATCACGGCCCTGTCCATTAGTATACTCACTTTCGTTTTTTTCTTTCGAGAGATATTCCCCGACATTTATCAGGGTCATGTTCGATTCTTTACGGTCCTCTCGTTTCTGGCACTTGAAGTCGGACGTGCCGCCTACTTCTACCATCTCTTGAAAGACTGCTCTGTTCTGATTCAAGAAGTATGCATTGGTCTCATGGGTCATGTCACTGGTGGCTTCTGCCGCCTCGGCAGTCTATTCGCCGTCCCTCCGATGAAATATTGAACAAGCAGCGACGAGGAAAGGCGACGGAAATCTGGAATCATGGTGGGAAGAAGCAATCTTGGGTGGAAGAGTCTTTGGGACAGGTGAACGATGAACAACGCTGCCGAAGGGGGGTTTGGGTTACAAGGTCAAGGATATGAAAGGGTCACAAGCACCCGAATGCGATCGGGCCTGAACAGCATGGATAACTAACTGACACGCTCGTTGGGTCATATCAGACAGACAAGGGCTTGCTCAAGGACAAGGACGGAACTTGTGTTGGAGTACCCAAGGTAAAGACTCCGAGCTGAGGCAGGGTACCCAAGTTCTGACTGTCACTTGCGACCAATACTGCACTATCAACATCGCCATGATACACAAATTGTTCAAGTACTCTCTCTTCCACTGTATGTGTTGGTGTAGACATTACGTATAGCGCGTGCAATACATACAAACGCGATCTTTCCACCCCTAAACAGTTCCCAACACCATTGGTATGCATCTCGAATCACAAACACCGCCCATCCATCTCATCCTCGTGCCTGTACCATGCCATGCCATGCCGATGCCTATGCCTATGCGTTTTCCCCTTGCTCTTCTTCTGGGGCACTGTCGCCGGTAGTCGCGGCTCTAGGTGTTGGAATATCATCTTCTATAGGCGCTTCTTCTTCCTTCGGTGGCTCTTTGGCCGCCTCTCCTTCTTCTACCTTTGGCTCTTCCCTGGGTTCTTCCTTTTGTTCATCGGGGTTCTCTTCTGACTGATTTGTAGTCGCCCTTTCTCTTCGCCGTCTTCGTAGCCTTCTCTCTTCCTCTGCTGTCTGCCGTCTGGCTTTTCGGAGGGTTTCTCTCCTCTCGGGGTCGTTGTCATCTGCGCCATCACCACCGCGCATACCTTGTAGGAGAGCTGCTGCTCTATCGGCAACGTCGTCTTCACCTTCACGAGGTGATGAGAGGCCCGGGCTGAGCACTTTGCTGTCGTCTTCGGCGGGTTCCTCCTTGTTCTTGAGGCCAGCTTCCACTTCTGGGATTTCGTCAAGGTCGGGGATCTTTTGTCCTGACGCAACGCGGACCTGGTGACGATCCTTGAGTCGCGCACGCCTTCTTCGGTCTCTCTGATCCCGAGCTTGCGGCGCAGCTGCACGTAGCTTCTCCAGGAGGGAGTCCATGGCGCCTGTATTGGATGGGGACGTCGGTCCCGCCTCGGCGTTGGCGTTGGTGAGTTTGAGTTGTGCTGTGTGCTTCCGTTTCATTGACGCCTCGTTACGCTTCCTTGTCTCTTCCACCTGCACGTTCTTGTCACGAGACTTCTTCCACTCTCCAACGAACAATGCCAACTTGGCAAAGAAATCTCGGCGGGCACCATCATCTGCGGGGTCCTCGCCGTAAAATACCATAATATCCTTGTATGTCTTCATCATTTCTTCCAAGTACAGCTCCATCTGTTCGGATTTTCTTCTGGCTTCCTTCATAATGCGTTGGACGATTTGACTCACTCGGTCCTGGGGATGGAACTGCTTGGGGTCGCTTAGGTTACCAGAATCCAATGACATTTGAATGTTTCGAATGTTGTCGATGTATTTCTTCGCATCAGCCTGAAGTTGCTCAATGTTGATCTTCTGTGCCGTCATAACTCCGTTGATATCATCCGCAAATGTCTCCCACTCAGGGTACTGGTTCCGTACAATACGCTCCACGAGATCGGCTAATGTTGACTCGTTCTTGTCGTCCTTGACCATACCCAATCTTGCAAGAGAGCTGAGCTTGAAACCACGCGCTTGCTTGTTCGCATCGTTCATGTAATTACCAATATCCAAAATAAGGCCAAGTACGTTCATCAATGAAACGGAATCGCGTAGCGACTCAGATACTGTCACAACCTGTCGGATCTTCTCGTTAATCTCTTCGTACTCTTGCTCAAAGCTTCTAGTAAGAGCAAGGGCCCTCATTCGACTCTTCCAGTAGTGGTGTAACTCAAAAGCCGTGTAGAGGTAAAGCTGATCTTGTCGAGTGAGCTCCGAGGGGTCAAGTTCACGGTCTTGGGACTTTGCATCAGGTCCAGTCCAGTCCTTGCTGTACGGTGCCATTTGCTTGACTGTGTTGTCAGGGATATTACAGAGGTCGTCCTTCTGCAAAAAGTCCATCACTACAGTGTTGTCTAGAATCTCTGGATCGCAGTGAATGATCATTTGAACAATCTTTTCGACAGAGTACTGTGAAAACTTGGCAAATGCAATTTCTGTGCAGTATTAGCAGGTAAAGCAATTAGGCATAAAAGGGAATGCACTTACCGTAGGCCTTGCGGAGATCAGAAGAGATGATTTGCTTCTTGTCATCTTTCTTAGAAGAGCTTCCTATACCAATCTTCTTGATCTCCTTAGCCATGAACAGTTTCTCAACCTCGTCGAGAATTCCCTTCTTGCTGAGCTCCTGATACTTCTCCTCTCGGGCTTCGGCAGAGGGGGTATGGGCTGCCCAGTGGCTGGTCTCAGGGGCATCGACCTTCTCCCAATGCAGGGCCTTGAGCTTCTTCTTGGGACGAACCACGGGCAGGCCAATGCTTGGTGCAGCCCCGAAAGCGGGTTGTCGAGCCAAGAAGTGCCCAGACATAGCACCAGGCAAAGGAGGAGGTGGCGGAGGGGGCATACCTCCAGCACCAGGCAACGGAGGCGGTGGTGGGGGAGGAGGAGGTCCACCACCTGGCATCAGCATGCCAGGCAACGGAGGCGGAGGCGGAGGGGCACCAGGAATCTGGCCCGGCATAGGGGGAGGCGGCGGGGGAGGCGGCGGTGGCGGAGCTCCGGGTATTTGACCGGGCATCGGAGGTGGAGGTGG